TTATTTTTACTACTAACTCCAATATAAAAAAGGACAATACTAGCACTTACCCTACCCCTAACCATTATAAATGATTACTTATAAAAATTGAATTTGGCAAACCGTATGTACTACGTATCAAAATTTAGTACAATTTGCATATGTCTATCCGAATTTGTACTCATATATAGTACTTTACTAAATATTTTCTTTCAAATACTACTTTATACACTTAATAATATGCATGTCATAAATTAAATATTTATACAAAGATTCGATCATTTTGAAGTTTTTCAAATCAAATCAAAGTGCTAACGCTATATATTAGGGTATTTCAAAATTAATATATTTTGGAATTAAGAATTTGGAATTACGTACTAATATCAAAGAACAAAATAACAAAATAGGTGTTCTGGATGACATCAGGGTGTCCCTGAAGTTCGAGTGTGCTATTGCTATAGCATCTGGTAACCCATACCTTCACTTCAAGCTGAAGTAAAAATTTAAAATATGTGATAAATGAGATTTTATTAACAAAATAACACTTCTGGATTATAATCTATATAGTTCTAAAAAGTTTTGTTAACGAGCATTACAAATGTTAGATACTGCGATAGTGATACACCCAAACTTTGTAGAGACCGCCCTGGCATCATTGTGTTCTGGTACTTATGCTAGCGATGTTACTCAAACTATTTGGGATGTTGTGATGAATAGCATTAATAAGGCAGTAAATATCTAATATCATCACATAGTTTTGGAAGTCCCAAATAGCTTGGGCATATTTCAAGAAATAAACTTTTTTTTTATGGTTAAAATGCGATTAACAATGTATTTGTGATTGAAAACGAAATAAACTTTTTAAACAGATATATTATGTACTTTACTGAAATAGATTACTCAATGCTTAATTTTGAAACTTCCTATTATATTATTATTTGTTTTGCATCCTATTAACAGTCATTTCTTTATCACTTTTAGTCTTCTCCAAACAAGATGAACTATACATGATTTTTCACCATGATACTATTCTGTTTTTTCTGCCAAACAAATAACATTGCGCCAAAAATAAAATTCTATTACCGCAGATTTTTGAACACTAAATTTATTAAACATAATCAATTGAAATTGAAATAGTAATTTGGAGTTGGCATCAAAACCAGTATTATTATTTATAGTCAATATTGTATTTTAAAAAAAGAAATCTAAAATATATTAAATTTTTAAAAGATCTTGAATAAAAGAATGAGAAATGGTAGTCATCTGGATGGATACTTGCTTATTCAACAAATCTAACATGATTCTTCGAACATGCTTGCTAGATTGAACAATTATGTTTAAATCACAAAAATATATGTTCAAAATTACATTTTACGCAAATCTAATTTATAGCAACTTAACACTTATTTAAAATAAATTAAATAGTTTTGTATTTGGCCAGTCAAAATTTGAAAGTTTTCATAAAATTAAAAAAAAGCCAGCCGGATCTGTTTTAATATTTTCATATTTGTATCATCAAATGTGCTTTACAATTTTCAAAATACTGAAATAACGATATCGAAAAGATTTTATAACTTGAGATCACATTACCCGAAATGTACTGCGTAGGGATCCTCATTTTCTGCTGTGACAGACCCAAATTCTGCCTGCTTTACAATTTGATTTATACGAATTATGCTATCAATTTTTTAGAATTATGCCGCAAATTATGCGAATCAGGCAGAAATATGCGAAATATGTGATTATTAGAGTTGATAATTTAGTAACTTAGGAAATCCCGACAATCATGCTTGTGTAACAGGAAAGTTACATGTGATTTTCAACCA